TTCCCTATGAGAGGTGAGCCCGTGCAGGAGAAGTGGAAACGGGAGTTCCCCAGTGAACCCCTCAGTCCAGCGAGTGGGGATCGGGGATCTGTGGTCTCTAGAGGAGCAGACAGCACAGAGTCCACCCTGCCCCCGAAGTATGGCCCAAAGGGAGGGGCGCAGAGAAGGCTGCGGGTGGAGGTCTCACTTGCAGTGGGGTTTTGAGACAGAAAGAATCAAGGCTATTGGGAGGCTGAGGAGCTTGGGTCTTTAGTGAACCCCTCAGTCCAGCGAGTGGGGATCGGGGATCTGTGGTCTCTAGAGGAGCAGACAGCACAGAGTCCACCCTGCCCCCGAAGTATGGCCCAAAGGGAGGGGCGCAGAGAAGGCTGCGGGTGGAGGTCTCACTTGCAGTGGGGTTTTGAGACAGAAAGAATCAAGGCTATTGGGAGGCTGAGGAGCTTGGGTCTTTACTGCTGCCACCCACGGCCTTTCTGCAGACGCAGCAATGGGTGGATGGTGCATGTTTGCACTATCCAGACCTGTCCATGTACAGGGCCGGACTCTGCTCTTGTTTACACCAGTCCGGAGTCACGCTATCCAAGTCAGTGAGGCTTTACACAGAGCCCAATTCAGCCCTCAGAGAGGTCATGTTGCCCCATGTTTATTGAACCCAGAGAGAGAGAAAGACAGTGTTTTATTTGTGCACCTCTGTATGCAGGATTACAGGAGCCACGTCCCTCTCTGCTCCATGGGCACAGTGCCCATTGCAGCCAGCAGCAGCTATTCCCGTGTATTTGGGTGCAGAATCAGACCCTGGGACCACACATTGCTCTGCCAGAATAGGACAGGGCCTGCCCCAGCCAGCTTTCAACTTAATTTCATAAGCAAGGAGGGGTTGGGAGTGAGAGCATGGACCTAGGAACCACTTATGGGCATATCTGCGGCGTCTTTCCATTGGAAGTGGTTTCCCAAGCTGGGTGGAGAAACTGAGGAATCGCTGTGTCTGCATCTGATGCTTCAACTCTGGTATGTAAATACCTTATGCTCCATTATGATTTTTTACTTATTTGCTGTTGTCTAGAGGGAAAGCCCCACACCCTCTCAAAACATGGCTGAGGAAAGCCACCGGGTGTATTTTAGAAGGCATAGTTTTAAAAGGAGCATTGTCCTTTGGTAATATGGCTGATAGAGATCTTGCATCTGTTGAAAGCTGGGGTTGAGCAAGATGCTTGGTGGCTGGATGGGAGAAGGTATCTCTGTATGCATTGAGTTATCTGGATGAGAAACCCTTACCAGTGTGTTCACCGGTAATCTTACGGGCATGCTGTTGGTATCTGATACCTTTCTGTTAAAATAGTGCAGTGAAAAATTACCTACATGGGACCTCTCTTAAGCTTTTTTGGGTAGCAAGTCTCTTTCTACAAGCCATTTCTAGATGCATGTGTTCCCCCTCAGCTTGATTGAAACCCCCTCCCCCAAACTACAGCACCCAGTTTTGGAACCAGGTTCTAATTTTGTTTGCACCTGTGTAAATCTGGAGCAGTTCCTTTCAAGCAAGGGGATTTATGCCCCGTGCAACTCGAATCAGAACCTGCCTCTCGATTCCTGTGGTATACCTGACCCTTGCAAATACTTCTTGTCAATGAGAAGCAGTTTAGATATTCACCAGCCTGATAGCTGGCTAACTGAGCATGTGCGCTGCAGTGCTTAGACACTGTGCTGATGAATGCTGTAAGAAGCGGTAGACTGGGTGGTCAGATAGATTTCTGCTAAGATCCTTTTTCCACACCGTTTTTGGGGCACTGGCTTAGTAAGATACACAAATTATTCTGACCTATCATTTTCTGGTGCATACATCTCCCCTCACCTTAGGGAGAATTTGGGGGCGGAAACAATGAAAAAACAGGGTTTTTGCTGTTCAGTGTCTGGAACCATAGCAGATAGAGATAGATAAAAGCTCTTTGGTTTCATATAGGCCATACTACCGGTAATCAATGCAGGATCATTCCCGACAGTCTTTTTTCTAATGCTTTTACTACCCTAATATTCAGCATCCTGGTGCTAAGAGCCTGTTTGGAATTTCAGCACATCTTCTGTGTTATTAGATTATACACTAGTACTGGTATGCGCCCTCCACTCCTTGTTTGCCTAGAAGGACAGTCTGGGCACAGCATTGCAAAGTCCGAAAACCCCAGGGGAATGCAATGCGCAAGGCTGCTAACTATGTCTTGGGGTGGGGAGAGGCCTGAAATTGACAATAGGCGAGAAATTTGGAGGCTAACTCTTGTCCTTCTGAACTCACCCTCTTTTGTGCCTAGATTTTGCAGTTCTGATGTTGCGCTAGAACAAATGACTAGACGAGGCTGAGCCTGCTTCCAAAGAGCAGTGATAGGATACCTCATCAGAGCTGGGTAAAACAAGGACAGAGGGAGAGATTCAGAACTCAGTTATGCTGGTGTGAATCGGCATTGCATTGAACAACGTGGAATAGCTCCCGTTTCGCCATGCAGCAAGTGAGATCGGGTGTTGAGCGCTTAAGTGAGAATTTCCGTTGTATCGTGGAATTGTGTTAGGTTTTGAAGCACTAGTAACGCTTTTGGTTAATGGTCTATGGTCTATGTAATGGGATACGAGTGTATTTTGGCGTGGACAGTGAAGACAGACGTGGAAGAGGTGTGTAGTGGACAAATTATGCGCTGTGTGCATGCAAGTACAGATGTCTAGAAAGAGTCACTGACCAGTACGTGTTTAATCAGAAG